ACAAGATGTATGAGAATGGCACTCAAGGCATTCACTGGACATAGGCAATAAAGAACAGTGACCCCTGAGGGATGGGAAACAAGCAAGGTAAGCCGTATCCACTTTCTGCCTGAAGAGAGATTTTAGGCTGTGCCCAGGAAAGAGTTCTAGAGAGGAGAGAGCTACACAGAGAGAACTCTGGAGAGGTGTAGAGGCTTCCCGTCAAGCGCTCAGCAGAGTACTGATTATCACATACACATGAGGAAACAGGCTTGGGAAAGAACCACGAAAAAGAGAAACAATCCTTAGAGATCACACAGAGATGGGAATGGTGCCTGTTTCCATCTGCCAGAGAGGAAAATCTCATCATTCAGGAGCATTGGTTAGAGTACAAAGATGGGTCTTACTTCAATAAAAGGGGGAAAATACCCTTAAATACAGCTCTAGTCCTGCACAACAATGCTTAAAAGAATCAAATTGTTTGTTTCCAAGTAATTTAGGCACATCCCAGGACAAAGATCAGGAATATTTATAGGAATACAAAAATATCCAACACCTAACAAAGTAAAATTCACAATACCTGACTTATAATAAAAAATTACCAGGCATGCAAAGAAGCAGAAAAATATGACCCATAATGAAGAGAAAAGCCAATCAACTGAAGCTGACTGAGAAATGATAGAATTAGTAGACAAGGATGTTGAAACAATTATTATGAATATATTTCATATGTTCAGAAGCTAGAGGGAAGAACATGTTAAGTGAAGACATGGAAGATATAAAAAAAAGACCAAGTTGAACTTCTAGAGATGAAAACTACATCATCTGAAATGAAAAATGCATTGGGTGGGATTAACAAGAGATTATACATTTCAGAAGAAAAGATTAGTGAACTTGAAGGGGAGGCAGTAGAAACTATCCAAAATGAAACACAGAAGAAAGACTGGAAAAAAATTAACAGGGCATCAGTGAATTGTGGGACAATATCAAACGATTAAATAAACCTATAACTGGAGTCCCCAAAGGAGAAGTGGAGGGGGACTAAAAAAAATTTGAAAAATAATGGTTGAAAACTTCTAAACTAAGTCCACAAATCCAAAACACAAAACAAACTTCAAACACAAGAAAGATGGAGAAAACTACACGGAGTCTCATAATCAAATTGCTCAAAAATAAACGATAAAGAGAAAATTTTAAAAGCAGACAGAAAAGAAAGACACATTTATACAGAAGAACAAAGACAAGGAAAAGAGTAAACGTTTTCTCTTAACATCAGGAACAAAATTAGGATGTCTAATCTCACCACTTCTATTCAGCTTTTTAGTGGAGGTCCTATTCAGTTCAATAAGGTAGGAAAAAGAAATGAAAGGCATCCACACTGGGAAGGAAAAAGTAAAACTGTCTTTACTCACAAAACATAACTGTCTATGTGAAATATCTGATAGAATCTATGAAAAAGCCACTAGAAGTAATAAATGAGTTTAGCAAGGTTGTAGGATACAAGGTCAATATAAAAAAAATCAATTGTATTTCTATATACTACAACAAACAACTGGAAATTTAAATTTAAAAAGCACTTCCATTAATAATAGCATAAAAATATGAAACATGTAGGGATATAGACAAAAGATGTGTAAGACCTGCACACTGAAAACTATACAACATTGCTAAGAGAAATTAAAGAAGACCTAAGTTAACAGAGAAAAATGCTATGTTAATGAGTTGGAAAACACGATATTGCTAAGATGTCAATTCTCCTTAAATTGATCTATAATTCAATGCAATGCCAATCAAATCACCAGCAGGCATCTTTCTGGTAGAAACTGACAAGCTGATTCTAAAATTTATATGGAAATTCAAAGGACTAGGAGTGCCAAAACTAGTTCCAAAAAGAACAAGTTGGATGGCTAATACTACCTGATTTCAAGGTATATTATAAAGCTATAGTTATCCAAACAGTGTTGTATTGGCATAAATATATACAAAAATATCATTTGAATAAACTAGAGTCCAGAAATAGATCTACACATATATGATCAATTATTTTTCAACAAAGTTGCACAGACAATTCAACAAATGGCGCTGGAACAACTGGATATCCACAGGCAAAAAAAACAACCACTGTGACCACCACCAAAAGAAAGACTTTAATCCTTATCCCATACCATGCACAAAAATTAACTCAAAAATCATAGTCCGGGCTTCCCTGGTGGCGCAGTGGTTGAGAGTCCGCCTGCCGATGCAGGGGACACGGGTTCGTGCCCCGGTCAGGGAAGATCCCACATGCCGCGGAGCGGCTGGGCCCGTGAGCCATGGCCGCTGAGCCTGCGCATCCGGAGCCTGTGCTCTGCAACGGGAGAGGCCACAACAGTGAGAGGCCCACGTACCGCAGGAAAAAAAAAAAAAAAAAAAAAAAAAAAAAAAAAATCATAGTCCCAAATCTAAGAAAACATAAGAGAAAATCTTTGTGACCTTGGGTGAGGCAAATATTTCTTAGATGTGACACCAAAAGCACTATCCATAAAATAAAAAATTGATAAACTGGACTTCATCAAAATTTAAAACTTCTGCTCTTTGAAAGGCACTGTAGAGAGAATGAAAAAAAAATCACACACCACAAGAAAATATTTTCAAATCATGTACATGATAAAGGATTTGTATCCAGAATATATAAAAACTCTACGCAATAATATATTAAAAAACCAGCCCAATAAGAAATGGACAAAAGATTTGAACAGTACTTAAGAAGTCTATGGATAAAATAAGCACATGAAAAAATGCTCAACATCATCGGTCATTAGGGAAATGAAAATTAAAACCACAACTAATGACATAAAGAGCAGTGATCACACCAAGTTCCTGAGCATATAGAACAACTGGAATGCTCACACTGCTGGTGGGAATGTAAAATGGGACAACTAGTTTGGAAAACAGTTTGGCAATTTCTTACAAAGTTTAACATACACCTACCACACAGCCCAGCCACTTCATTCCCAGAGATTTATCCAAGAGAAATGAGTATGTCCACACATAGACCTGTACACAAGTGACCAAAGTGGCTTTAATTGTAATCCCTAAAAAAAATGGAAACGATCCAAATGTCCATCAACAAGTGGGTGGATAAACAGTGAACAAAGTATTGTATATCCATACAATAAAATACTACTCAGTAATAAAAAGCAACAAGCTATTGATACACACTATAACATGAATAAATCCCAAATTAATTATTCTGGGTGAAAGAAATCAGATCCATTCCCTCCTCCCAAAAAAGTATATTATGAATAATTCCACTTATATAAAAATCTAGAAAAAGTAAACTAATCTACAGTGATAGCTTATCAGTGGTTGCCTGGGGATATGAGGGAAGGGAAGGGCAGGAAGGAGAAATTACAAAGGTTTATGAGGAACCTTTGTGGGTGATAGATATGTTTATCCTAATTTTGGTAATGGTTTCATGGCTGTATACAAATGTCAAAACTTATCAAATTTTATACTTTAAACACATGCAGTTTATTATATGTCAGTTATATTTCAATGAAGCTGTTAACTTTTAAAGTTGATTTAAACTGAGTAAAATTAAAAGTTCAGTTCATCAGTTACACTAGTCACATTTCAAGTTTTTAATTGCCACATGCAGGTCATGGCTATCATTGTGGACAGTACAAGTGTAGGGCATTTTCATCACTGCTCAGAGCAGCTGATCTAACTAACACATTGAAAAAGCATCTGTTTCTTTCATTCCTCCTCCATCTACCTACTCCAAACTTCAAAACTGGAAATAAGCATGGCAGCATGGCACTGATATATAAATTACAGGAGAAGTTTTTTTTTGTTTTTTGGTGTTTTTTTTGTGGTACGCGGGCCTCTCACTGTTGTGGCCTCTCCCGTTGCGGAGCACAGGCTCTGGACGCGCAGGCTCAGCGGCCATGGCTCACGGGCCGAGCCGCTCCGCGGCATGTGGGATCTTCCCGGACCGGGTTACGAACCCGTGTCCCCTGCATCGGCAGGCGGACTCTCAACCACTGCGCCACCAGGGAAGCCCACGGGAGAAGTTTTAAAAGCAGATTTTATTAAGTTTAATGTAAGTTTAATGTAAAATACACCTTCTATTCATAAACATATATAGCACACTATTTCCTCACTTAGGTATCACAGCTTCTATGGATTACATTTAATTAGTTTCTTCCAAAGCTCAAGTTGAAGGCAATTTTAAACTGACATGGGAAAAATGAAACAGACAGCACTGTCTCGAAACATACTTTTACCTTGTAAGCAAAGTGGTTATAGCTAAAATATAACTCATAAAAGAGAATATACATTTTTTCATATACTTACAGATATTTTATGAGTTACTCTGAAATAAGTAGCGTGTTTCAGAATACGCTACATAATGCAACTAAATGTTCTTATTTAAAAGAATCAAGCATATAACTCACAATAAATATAAACACAAGTTTCAACTGTAAGAACAGATGTAAAAAGAGAAGACTATGGTATATATGGAAATGTTTCACATTCAAGTTCATAAAATTAGGACAGAGAAGTCGTTAAACTTAATATTCTTACTGACGCTTTTTTCCTTCTCTCCCTATAGCTTTCAGTTTTGAGAGGGGTGATTTTATTAAAAAAGACTCAAACTCTCTTTTCTGTTTCCTCCTACCACCACCTCACCCCTCTGTGTAGCCTGTGGACTTGGGAGGCAGAGTCTATGTTTGCTCTGTGTTTTTGTTTCAGTATACAGAACTCAGGGCTGGAATCTTCAACCCGCCCTGTTCCAAAGGCTGATACAGTAAACCTTGATGCACAGTTTGATGTCTGAGTCATCTCTGTCTTAGAAATGGATACAGAAAAAGGCAAGTGGAGCTGGGGGGAGAGGGGAGGTTGGTGGCCAGTGTAGACCCATCAACCAAGACAACCCCCAAACAGTGTATTGTACTCGATAAGCAAGAAGTATAAAAATAGAACCCAAGTCCCTCTGTTGTTTGTAGAAGCAGAACTCACAAGCCAGTTTCACTTACTTTTTTACACCGACAGAGCCATTTTCCTTGTTTTCCATGTCAACAGATAGCATGGGGAGGCTGCAGGTTTCCTTTACTTCAGCAACTAATCAATAAGGGAGAAAAGCTTGTGTTTAATTCTTAGAAAGTGAGAGAAGAATATATATTCTGAATCGGAAACATAATGGCCCCTTTTACAGCCTCACACCAGTTCATGTATGTTTGCTTACATCTCTAGTTCCCTGAGCGACTGGAGAGACGTGATTAAACCTAAAGAACTGGAGGAGACTATTGGGGTGTGCTTTCATCTGTACTGGCACTCCCTGCCTTGACAATAAGCATTTGCAAATGAAATTGAATCCTCGTTCAAAACAAGTGCTGAGTGAACTGGCACAGCTTCCTCCAGGTGCCAAGCTCTCACTTAAGACATTGTAACTTATAAATGAGTCAAAGTCGAGAAAAACAATCCCCCTTTTCGTCCCCTTCCCACCACGGGCTATGATTTCTTCTTTTCTTACTGTATTTGTTTTTCTGTCCACTCCCACTGCTCCTCTGTTTTTTCATTGCGATGCAAAAGAGCACTTAAAGCTTTCGTCAGCAAGTATTCCCCTACCTCACATATTCTCAATGAAAACCTCAAAAACCCGTCTGTGAGATGGCCACACTGTGGTAAATCTGGAAGCTCACAAAAATGTCAGATAGCCCTTAGCACAGAAAGGTGGTACTGGTGTGTGTGTGTGTGTGTGTGTGTGTGTGTGTGTGTGTAAGACAGGGTAGGCAACTCGTTAGATTTATATAAAAATCATCAAAACATTCAAGGAGATATAGTAGCATCCATCACTTTGTCTTTTTGTTTAGTAGGAAGAGGACTGAAAAAATAAAATCCCTCCACAATTAATATGCAATTAGCAAGATGAAAAATCTATGAACAAAACTGCTGGAAAAAAAAAAAAAAACTAGTTCTGAAACGTGCTTGTTCTTCTGCAGCTGAAGCCATAAATTAAATACATTTCCTCTCAAATCACTTCATACTTCGGCACTCCTTCCCCTAGGGATTACTCTGACATGACAAGTGCATCATTCATTTAGTATATTCACAAGATTTTATCACTGTTAGAGAAGTAGATGATTAACAAATAATACTGTTAAGTGTGGGATTATCTTCACTGCTGATACATACACACGCGCACGCACACACACACACACACACACACACACACACACACACAAACTTCCAGTCGCTAAACCACTTAGATCATCCATAGAGAAATCCAACATTTAAGATACATATAGATATTAACATACATCCACACACCGTTACAGAGTAGACAGAAGATAGTGCAGCTTACTCCATGCCAAAAGAATGATTTCACTTCAGTTGGAAACTGTTACACATTCACCATTTTCTAAGCATCTCAGAAACAAAACAAAACAAAACACTCACAATGATACTCTGCAACACCACACTACATTGTCTTATTATTATTTTCTCTTTTTGTGGAAGAGTAAAAAGAAAACCTACCTAGAAGCAACTAAAACATGTCATTTTTTATAGGCTTATCAAGAACAGCCAAAGAAACCCCAATGTTTTCTTTCACAAAGTAGGCTGGCAAAGGAATTCAATAAGGAGGTACAATTTGACACAGTGAAATAAAACCAGGCTGGCTCTCAGCCAACATGACGTTAGGAATCACACACAAGCTGCACCAACTGCCTTCTGGTTCATGGCTGACTTTTTAAAGCTACAGTGTGCCTGTTCACTTTTGCTAACTACCTTCAGCACAATTAGTGGAAGTGAATGAATCATGAGTCTCCAAACTGCAGAATTCTCCCTGCACCTGTCTTGTTCAAAGAAAAACAAGCTATATCAAGAGTCTCTTATTTTCTCCCTCCCCTTCATTGTTTCTGCATCATATGTCTTTGCTGCTGTTCTGAGCATGAATGCCATGTGTCAAACTATTTCTTTTTCTTTCCTGTAGGAGAAAAGAGAAAATAAGAGAAAGCCTGGTGCTTAGGCGCTATACCCAGTGAACACCCAGAAGCTGCAGTCCTGTTACCCTTTCTTCCTAGTTGAGACTTGCCAACAAAGTTTCCAGGGCTGGCTTTTAAGTAATCTCTTTGTGAGAATAAGGAAAGCACTGCCTAGACGAAAATCCTTTTATTTCATTATGCAGGAAGTAACATATTTCAGAGAGGATGCAAAGTAGATGACCAGATCTCCTGAGAATGCCCACATTCTTCAATTTTGGCATTCATCCTACCAGATGAAGTCAGCAAAAAATTCAAAATAAAACAAACCTTATTCTACAAAACAAAAACAATTAGTCTGGGAGGTTTCATTATAACTGTTTATCCCAGTTGCGTAAAAAGCATAATTCAACAGATTCAACACTTATTTTCTATGAGCACCTGGTACTATATTAGTTACATATGAAAAAGAAGATCTTGTGCCAGCCCCCAAATTCATAGCATCTTCCACCACCATCCTAGGTCCCAGTTCTGGTAAGTGGGAGATGGAGTAGGGGCTGGGCACGATCTTTTGATTAAGTTACCCCGGTCAACCTCACAGTTCTCTTGCTTGCTTGGCTGGGAACTAGTGCTCAAGGGAAACATTCCCATTCCACAAATGTGCTGTACATACACTAGAAACATAAATGGTTGTCAGTGAAATAAACACCAATCAATATTTGCACACTTTTAGGTCAAGATGTCAACAAAACCTCTCAAGGTAGGGCAGAGAATTACAGGTTCTCAAGAAGGATCCTAGAAAAAGTCATCTGCTGCTGTAATCGTGTGTAGACTTCAGGCAGAATTGAGGAGAAAGCTGCTGGTCTCCCTTTTCTTTAGTACTTTTTAAGGGTACTAGAAGATCAGCAACTATGATCCAAATTTGCAACCTGAATTTCAAAGTCAAGTTTTTCCCCTTACTTATTGCAGAAATTATACTAGAAATTTTCAACTTCTTGAAAGATCGTCGCTGAGAAAAATTTCAAGGGCTGTCTCTGCCCATCTTTGCCATTGCCCCCTTGAAAGAGCAAATAATAATAATTTAGGAAAGAATTCTAAATGTTCTTATATTTTTGAGTAACGTTTTTTAAGCACGGCTCAAACAGGTGGGGTTTTTTTGTTTGTTTTACCACCACTGATCAAAATGATGAACTCTTCTGGAGATAGAGCACTCTTTCACCAACAGATTCCATAACGCTTTTGGGTTTGATCTGAAATTTCTCAACTGTTCTACAACTAAATTCAAATGGAAGGGCGCTGGGCTGTGAGTCCTGAGGGCAAGGGATAGAGAACAGGGTGTCCTGACAGCACTGTCATGCCACTGCTCAGAAAAAAATCAGGTTCAGCACGCCACTCTTGAAAGGAAAGAGGCAAAGAAAATGTAGTTATGCTGACTCTTCCTTAGACACACTCACAGGAGAAAGGATTCTGTGAAGTTTCTCCAGGAATTTCTTCCTACATATAAAAATGGACATCCCTTCCTGTCTTGCCTGCTGTGATCAAAAGTTTGCCTGTTACACAAGGGTATGGGTTTCAGGAGGTGTTGTGAAAAATCAATCCCATTTTATACAAAATGAGCCACAAATTCTGACAACAGGAGGTTTCACTCATCAGCTAGTTTCTAACTTTGGAATAAACTGACATTTGTAGGTATAAGTATATATACTAGTACTCAACCACTTCCTCTTCACTCCCTCCACCAAACTGTTTGATATTAACCCTCTGCTAATAAAAATTGTGTGTTTGTGTGTAGGGTGGTGTCTGGTTGTGTGTGGTGCATAGCATAAAGGCAATGTGTGTGATGAGTGTATGTGTACGCTGTGTAATATGTGAGTGTTTGTGGTGTGTGTAGTGTGTGGTATTTGTGTGTTGGCAGAATGTGTAGTGTGCACGGTGTTTGTGTGTATGTGTGTCTGTAGTGTGTAAGCGTAGAATGAGAGATACACATGCAAACCGACAAGATCTTCTGATCCAGGATATCATGGGATGTGCTAAAATAACTTCGGAGATCCTTGTGCTAGGATTCTGGAGCAGAACTTTCCTGGACACTTGGGAATGGGCTCAGATAGCAGGGGAGATGGGTCAGAAAGGACGGGAAACTGGCGCCTCGATCGGCTGCTTTTATTGATCCGCACTCATCCCCCAGAGACCCAGTGCCCTCCCCCAGGAACCTCCCGCCGGCCTTGTCTCCAGGAGTGGGCCCACAGGCGCATCCAGCCCGCGTCCCAGAGCGCAGACCTGGGTGCACAGGGCTGCAGAAGTAATCTCGAGAAGCCGCCCGAGGGCACGGCCGAGCTCAACGGGTCCCCAAGGGCATCTCAAGGAAAACTAAGGAGGGCCTGGAGAGGGGGCAGTGGGGGCAGAACAGAGGGCAGCAGGGGAAATGCCAGAGAGTCTCTTGGACCAGCCGGTCCCGTCCGATAGCCAAACGACTCGCTTGTGGCACTGGTGACAGAGGGGAAAGTTTCTGGCTAAGACTTTCCAGAAGAAACCGTTCGTCCTTGAGACTGGGGACTCCCCGGGGGAGCTCGTCTTTGGAAAGGGAGTAGGGGGGTGTGGCGCTCGCTGTGCGCCCAGCCGAGCCGTGCCACCTCCCGGTCCCATCCTGCGAGCTCTGCTCCGCAGCCCGCGGTGAGCCGCAGCTCTCCGCGGAGCCGGGCACGCTTCTGCCCCCAGTTCCACTCCAGGGTGACAGATTCCACGCTCGGGGGTGCAACAAGCTGTAGGAGCACCGGACACACAGCAGAGACGAGGGAGGGCAGGGCGGTTTTTATTGTGGCTTTCTTCGTTTCCTTCCATCCTGGAGAGGGGGGGAAGACGGGCGCGTTCCCAGCGCGCTCGCAGCACGAGCGGATCACTTACCTCCCCGCATGGCCGGCGCCGGGAGGCTTTACCCCGCACAGAGCTCGCCGGCCGCCACGCGCCCAGCCCCAATGCAGCCGGCCGGGCGCGCTGGGCACGCCGGGACTTGTAGTCTCCGCGGGCGGGGTAGGGGTCCAAGGGCTGGGGCGGCTCGGAAGCCGAGAGGCCCGGAAGGGAAGGGACGAGGCCGGGGCTTTGAGAAGGTAAGGGAGGACATTTGCAAGAACTTAAAACCTCCTGGGAGCTGGAGGTGGGAAACACTCCTAGAGAGACTTTAAATTGGGGGTCTTCAGGCTGGTACCATTTTTTCTTCCCGTCTGACTCGCACGTGGCAACTCTGATGAAGTTTTTAGCTGGGTTTTGGCAGTTATGACAAGTAGAGATTTCCCGGGCCAAGCCCATATTGTTTAGGGCCTTACTCTGCCTTCACCCCGAACGCACACGTGGCATTCTCTGCTTGGAACACCTATTCTGTGGCTTACTCAGTTGAAGCCCTGGGCATGCAAAGGGAGAGTGAATAATTGCACCTTACGTTTGTAGAGCACGCTACAGTGTACAAAGCACTTTTTATGTACTTGGTTCATTATATTAGAACCATAGGATTTTAAAACCCAGGGATTTTAAAACCCAGGGATTTTACCAGAGTGATTTTGCTTGTCCCAGTGATTTCGGATGGGGAACTACCGGAATGTAGTTGGTAGGGCCAAAGACACTAGACATCTTGCAATGCCCAGGGCAGTCCTGCCCAGCAAAGAATTATCCCACATCCTGTGTGACTTGACTGTCCCACTGCTCGTTCACGTGGATGAAAAACCTGTTTATATTTACCTGAGCCTAGAATCTATTTTATATATAAACATAAACTTTTTCACACAGTGAAATGGCAATGCCATTCCTGGAATTTGAGTCACCAATACAGTCCATTTTGTGCTGCCCATTTCATGGTGACTCTACAGATTGGATGCAAGAGTCTGACTACTTCATTGCGTCTTTTAGTTTAGGGGTGCCTGAGCAGTTCCATGTTGAATCATATGTTTACTCTTTCCTTTATATTACAGTGAAGGCATTGCTTTGAATTGTTTAAAAATTACATGTGTAGGTACCTTATGACTTTCTCTTCATAAAGGTAAAGAGTTTATTAACTCATAGTTGTTGTTCAAAGGGGCATTAGGTTTGACAAGGCTGTGGACCATTTATTCAGTCAACAAATATCTTTTGAGTGCCTACTACATACTAGGCACCTTTCTAGATACTTGAGATACATCAATAAATAAAACAGAAAAAGTTTACTGCACTTAGGGAGCTTGCATTCTAATGTGAGTGTGGGAGAGGCAGGCAATAAATAGTAAATATAAACTAAATAAGTAAATTCTATATATTAGAAAGTGGCAAATGTTATGAAAAAATAAAGCAGATAAAAGAGATTGGGAATGCAGAAGAGTGCTAAATATAGTAAATTTTATTGAAATGGTGACATTCAAGGAAAAGAACGGGAGTTGGTAAGAGAGTGGCCTTGTGGATTTCTGAGGGAAGAACATTCTAGGGAGAGAGAAGAGTAAGGCATAGGCCACAAGGTGAGTATGTGCTTGGAGTTTTCAAGGAACAGCAAGGATGCCAGTGTGGCTGGTTTAGAGAGAGTTGGGGATGAGAAGCAGGATGACTGAGGATGACCGCTGGGTTGGAACAGGGGATGTAGGGCTTGGAGGACATTACAACAACTTTGCCTTTCATGATGAATTAAATGGGAAGCTACTGGAGAGTTTTGAGCAGAGCAATAACATTCAGGCATATTTTTGAAGGATTATTCTGGCTGATCTCTCTGGGATAGATCACAGATAGCAATGGTGGA